GGCTTCTGGGTAGCTGGGACTACAGGTGCACGCCACCATACCTGGCTAATTTTTTTGTTTTGTTTTTGTTTGTTTGTTTGTTTTACCATGTTGCCCAGGCGGGTCTTGAACTCCTGGACTCAGGTAGTCCACTTACCTTGGCCTCCCAAAGTGGTGGAGTTACAGATGTGAGTCACCCCACCCAGCCCCCATCTCAACACATTTCAAAGAACAACAATCACACATTCCTCCCATCACTACTTTTTTTGTTGGGGAGGTGCTGGGGGAGAGACACGATCTTCTCTGTCACCCAGGATGGAGTGCAGTGGCATGATCTTGGCTCATTGCAGCCTTGACCTACCAGGCTCAAGTGATTATCTCACCTCAGCCTCCAAGTAGCTGAGATTACAGGCACACACCACCATGCCTGGCTAATTTTCTTGATTTTGTTGTAGAGATGAGGTCTTACTATGTTTTCCAGGCTGATCTCAAACTCCTGATCTCAAGCAATCCTCCCACCTCACCTTTCCAAAGTGCTGGGATTACAGGCATGAGCTACAGCACCCACCCGCTTCACTATTTCCTTCCTTCCTTCCTTCCTCCTTCCCTCCCTCCCTCCCTCCCTCCCTCCCTTCCTTCCTTTCCTCCCTCCTTCCCTTCTTCCTTCCTTCCTTCATTTCTTTTTTGAGACTGAGATGGAGTCTCACTCTATCACCCAGGCTGGAGTGCAATGGTGCGATCTCAACTCACTGCAACCTCCAGCTCCCGGGCTCAAGCAAGTATCCTGCCTCGGCCTTTCAAAGTGCCTGGGATTACAGGTGTGAGCCACCATGCCCGGCTTTCCTTCTAGCTATTTGAAGCTATAGGATATAATATTTTTTTGTTGTTTTTGTTGTTGTTGTTGTTTTTTAGACGGGGTTTCACCATGTTGGTCAGGCTGGTCTTGAACTCCCGACCTCAGGTGATCCACCTGCCTTGGCCTCCAAAGTGCTTGGATTACAGGCATGAGCCACCACGCCCGGCCTATTATTGTTAACTGTAGTCATCCTATACAGGTATAGAACACTAGAACTTATTCCTCTTATCTAGCTGAAATTTTGTATCCTTGACAAATCTCTCCCTATCCCTCCATTCTCCCTACCCTCCCTAGTCCCTAATATCCTTTGTTTTACTTCTTACTTTTATGAGATCAACTTTTTTTCAGCTTCCACCTATGAATATGAACATTCAGGCCAGGCGCAATGGCTCACGCCTGTAATCCCAGCACTTTGGGAGGCCAAGGCAGGTGGATCATTTGAGGTCAGAGGTTTGATACCAGCCTGACCAACATGGTGAAATCCCGAGTATCGCTTTAATTTGAGAGGTGAAGGTTGCAGTGAGCCAAGATTGTGCCACTGCAGCCCAGTCTGGGTGATAAAGTGAAACTCTTTCAAAAAAAAAGAATATGAACATGCAGTGTTTAACTTTCTGTTTCTGGCTTATGTCACTTAAAATAATGTCCTCCAGTTCCATCCCTGCTGGCACAAATGACAACATGGCTGAATAGTATTCCATTGTCTAAATACACTGCATTTTCTTTATCCAGTCATCTGAAAACAGATGACTGGATCAAGTTGATACCATATTTTGATTGATTCTGTATCCTGGCTATTGAGACTAGTGCTGCAATAAACAAGGGGGTGAGATGTCTTTTTTTTTTTTGAGACAGAGTCTCACTCTGTTGCCCAGGCTGGAGTGCAGTGGCATGATCTCAACTCACTGCAATCTCTGTCACCTGGGTTCAAGCGATTCTCCGGCCTCAGCCTCCCAAGTAGTTGGGATTACAGGTACCCGCCACCAAACCCAGCTATTTTTTGTATTTTTAGTAAAGACAGGTTTCACCATCTTGGCCAGATTGGTCTTGAACTCCTGACCTCGTGATCCACCCACCTCGGCCTCCCAAAGTGCTGGGATTACAGACGTGAGCCACAGCACCCACCTTTTTTTGTTGCTGTTATTGAGATGGAGTTTCACTCTTGTCCAGGCTGGAGTGCAATCGTGTGATCTCAGCTCACTGCAACCTCTGCCTCCCAGGTTCAAGTGATTCTCCTGCCTCAGCCTCCCAAGTAGCTGAGATTACAGGTGCATGCCACTACACCTGGCTAATTTTTGTATTTTTCGTACAGATGGGGTTTCACCATGTTGGCCAGGATGGTCTCGAACTTCTGACCTCAGGTGATTTGCCAGCCTCTCTCCCAAAGTGCTGGGATTGCAGGATTACAGGTGTGAGCCACCACGCCTGGCTGAGATGTCTTTTTGGTATACTGACTTCTTTTCCTTTAAATAAATATCCAGCAGTGGGGTGGCTGGATCATATGGTAGTTGCATTTTTAGTTGTTTCAGGAACCTCCGTAGTGGCAGTACTGGTTTACATTCCTACTAACACTGCATGAGTTCGCTTTTCTCCATGTCCTCACCAGCATTTATCATTTTTTTGTCTTTCTGATAATAGCCATCCTAGCTTGGCTGAGATGATACCTCATTATGATTTCATTTTGCATTTCCCTGAAGATTAATGATTTTTAACATTTCCCCCCTATATTTGTTGGCCACTTGTATGTCTTTGTGTCTTCTTTTGAAATCATTTGTCTTTTTTTTTTTTTTTTTTTTGAGATGGAGTTTCACTCGTTACCAGGGCTGGAGTATAATGGCACAATCTCAGCTCACTGCAACCTCCGCCTCCCAGGGTCAAGCAATTCTTCTGCCTCAGCCTCCCAAGTAGCTGGGATTACAGGTCTCCACCACCACAACTGGCTACTTTTTGTATTTTTTAGTAGAGACAGAGTTTCACCATGTTGGACAGGCTGGTCTCGAATCCTGACCTCAGGTGATCTGCCTGCCTCAGCCTCTCAAAGTCCTGGGATTAAAGGTGTGAGCCACCATGCTGGCCCTCATTTGTCTACTTTTAAATCAGATTTTTTGTTTTGCTTTAGAGATGTTTGGGTTTCTTGTATATTCTAGATATTCATCTCCTACTGGATGAGTAGTTTGCAAATATTTTCGCCCAATATTCACTCTGATGATTGATTGTTTCCTTTGCTGTTTAGAGGCTTTTTAGTTTGATATAATTCCATTTATTTATTTTTGCTGCCTAGGCTTTTTTTTTTTTTTTTTTTTTTTAGATGGAGTCTTGCTCTTGTTGCCTAGGCTGGAGTGCAATGTTGTGATCTCGGCTCCCACAACCTCTGCCTCCCAGGTTCAAGCAATTCTCCTGCCTCAGCCTCCCAAGTTGCTGGCACTACAGGCACGTGCCACCATGCCCAGCTAATTTTTGTATTTTTGAGTAGAGACTGGGTTTCACCATGTTGGCCAGGATGGTCTTGATATCTTGACCTTGTGATCCGCCAGCCTTGGCCTCCCAAAGTGGCCTCTCCCAAAGTGCTAGGATTACAGGCGTGAGCCACCGCACGTGGCTTAAATATTTTTTTCTAATAGATTTATAGGTTCCGGTCCTACATTTAGGTCTTTGATCCATTTTGAGTTAATTTTTGTATAGGGTGAGAGGTGAGGGTCTAGTTTCATTCTTTTGCGTATGGATCTCCAGTTTTCCCAGCACCATTAATTGAAGAGGCTGTTCTTACCCAGTGAGTGTTCTTGGCACCTTTGCCAAAAATCAGTTGGCTATAGATACGTGGATTAATTTCTGGGTTCTCTATTCTGTTCCATTGGTCTATGTGTCTATTTTTACGTCAGTACCATGCTGTTTTGTTTACTACAGTTTTGTTATATACATATACATATATATATATATGTGTATATATATATATGTAGACATATAGATATATATTTTTTAGGCAGAGTCTAAATTTTTCTTTCTTTAGACAGAGTCTAGATTTTTTTTTTTTTTAAGACAGAGTCTTGCTCTGTTGCTGTCTCGAGGCTGGAGTGCAGTGACATGATTTCAGCTCATTGCAACCTCCACTTCCTGGGTTCAAGGAATTCTTGTGCCTCAGCCTCCTGAATAGCTGGGCCTGCAGGCCCGTGCCATCATGCTTGGCTTTTTTTTTTTTTTTTTTTTTTTTTTTTGAGATGAAGTCTCACTCTGTTACCCAGGCTGGAGTAACGCTCCATTACCCAGCTCACCGCAACCTCCACCTCCCGGGTTCAAGCAATTCTCCTGCCTCAGCCTCCCTAGAAGCTGGGATTACAGGTGTGCACCCCACACCTGGCTAATTTTTGTATTTTTAGTAGAGATGGGGTTTCAACATGTTGGCCAGGCTGGTCTTGAACTCCTGACCCTGGGTGATCCACCCGCCTCAGTCTCCCAAAATGCTGGGATTAGAGGCGTAAGCCACCATGCCTGGCCAGAAGAATTGTCTTCTATCCTAACGCAAGAAAGCTAATATAATCGCCCTACACATTGACAAGCACTACTCCACAGGTGTGACTAAGGAATAGAACTCTTACACGCCCAGAATGTAAATTTTTGAACCTGAGTGTCTTAGACACACAGACAGACATTTCCCCCACCTCAAAGAACAACTTAAATATAACTGAAGAGCTGAGCCTTGTGGCTTATGTCTGTAATTTCAGTGCTTTGGGAGGCCAAGGTGGGCAGATCATTTGACGCTAGGAGTTCAAGCCCAGCTTGGCCAACATGTTGAAACCCTGTCTAGACTAAAAATACAAAACTTAGTCAGGAATGGTTGCACATGCCTGTAGTCCCAGCTACTCAGGAGGCTGAGGCAGGAGAATCGCTTGAACCCGGGAGTGGGAGGTTGCAGTGAGCCAAGACTGTGCCACTGCACTCTAGCCTGGGTGACAGAGCAAGACTCTTGTCTCCAATAATAATAACAATAATAAATAAATAAAAAATTCAAGGTATTTAAAAATGTGCCAGGTATAGCTGTGGGCACCCGTAGTCCCAGCTACTCAGAGGCTGATGCAGGAGGTTCTCTTGAGCCTGGGAGTTTGAGGCTGCAGTGAGCTATGATTGCACCACTGCACTCCAGCCTGGGTGAGAGGGAGACTTCAACTGTAAAGCAGAACAAAACACACACTGTCTCTCTCTATGTCTATACATAATTCAAATATGCCTTGTGTTGCCTTGAGTTCTCCCAAGGTTTCAAGTGCAACCAGTTGTGTGGGTGATCCCAGGAAACACCAGTGGGCAGAGGGGAAGTCCAGTAGGGAAGGGACGGCAGCAACAGTGGGTGTGTTTTCCAGCAGGGTGACCCTGGGAGCCTCTAAAACTTAATCTGCTGGGGAACTCTGGGAGCCAATGCAGAAAGTGCATCTGACCCTCCTGCCCAAGGGGCAGGAGTGTGGGGCCTTTATGCACCTCCTCCTGTCAGTCATCCGTGGAGGGATGGGGGCAGGTGAGTCCATTCCCTGCACTTCTGAACTGTTATCTTTCGGCAAAGGAGGACCTGGGGGTTCAAGGAAGTCCTCAGGCAAGGAAAGGCAGCGGGTGGCAGCTGGAAGTCAGGCTGGTGTCACCAGAGTGTCAAGATGAGGTCAGGTAGGCGGGACTGCAACTGCATGGGCCACATTCTCTTCCTCATGTTTCTATGTAGGCTTTAGTGCCTCTTTTCTCCTGTGTCCTCTGGAATTCATTGGGCTGTGTCATCCCAGATACCACAGAGACTTCTCAGGCTTCTCATTCTTGTCAGCAAGCCTTGGGAGACAGGCAGGGACAGGGACTTCCTCACCTTCCAGCACCTGCAGGGAATCAGCATGGTGAGCGCTGAGTCACGTGCAGTCTCCAGATACCCAGTGCCCTGTTCTTTCTAAAGCTCTATTTAAAGCAAGGAGAAAATCCAGAGTGCAAGAGGGATACTCAAGTTGCTGGTTCTTATTTTTCTTTCCAGATACAAAGAAAAGAAATCTGGGCTGGGTGTGGTGGCTCACGCCTGTAATCCCAGCACTTTGGGAGGCTGAGCTGGGCGGATCACCTGAGATCAGGAGTTAGAGACCAGCCTGTTCAACATGGTGAAACCCTGTCTCTATTAAAAATACAAAAATTAGCCAGGTGTGGTGGTGGGCGCCTGTAATCTCAGCTACCTGGGAGGCTGAGGCATGAGAATCACTTGAACCCGGGAAGCAGAGGTTGCAGTGAGCCAAGATTGCACCGTTGCACACCAGGCTGGGCAACAAAAGCGAAATTCAATCTCAAAACAAAACTACATTTCTTCTTATTTTACTTGAATAACTAATTATATTAAATAAACTCATGATATGGGCTCCCACAAATGAGAGTAGAACCTTGTTTTTCATGGTTTCACTCTTTTTTTTTTTTTTTTTTTTTTTTTTTTGAGATGGAGCTCACTATGTTGCCCAGGCTGGTTTCCAGCTCCTGAACTCAAGGAACTCATCTGCCTCAGCCTCCCAAAGTGCTGGGATTACAGGAGTGAGCTACTGGCCTGGCCTTGGTTTTACTCTTACTAAACGGAAGTAATTGATGATAGTAGATTGTTTATTCAAAAAGAATTTGTTCTTTTCATGGACAAGCGTACATGGCTAGAAATGTAAAAAATTTAGAATAACTACGTTCTCATAATTAGGACTCCTATATAAGAGTAGGAGGGATAAAAATACATTTAAGCAAACTCTCCAAACTACTTGTTTATAGTTTCTCATTCTGCATAGAAAAAAATTACTCAAGTTAATTCTGTTCACTAAAAGAGGAAAATGCTCAATTAACTGGACCAAAATAGTCCCAATTAAAGATACATATTTCTGGCCGGGCATGGTGGCTCACGCTCGTAATCTCAGCACTTTGAGAGGCCAAGGTGGGCAGATCACCTGAGGTCAGGAGTTCAAGACCAACCAGGCCAACATGGTGAAACCCTGTCCTATAAAAAGAAAGAAAGAAAGAAAGAAAAAATAAAGATACATTTCTCTGATGAGCAAAAATTGGGACTCTTCCACAATATGAAGACAGAATTTATTTTTGTTCTTAGATAAACTAATATGTACTTTTAACTCACAGAAGGGACAAGATAAAAAGAGCATTAGGCCAAGTGCGGTGGCTCATGCCTGTAATCCTAGCACTTTGGGAGGCTGAGGCAGGCGGATCACTTGAGGTCGAGAGTTTGAGACCCACCTGGCAACATGGTAAAACCCCATCTCTACTAAAAGTATGAAAATTAGTTGGGCACGGTGGTGCATGCCTGTAATCTCAGCTGCTCTGGAGGCTGAGGCAGGAGAATTGCTTGAATCCCAGAGGTGGCGGATGCAGTAAGCCGAGATCATGGCACAGCACTGTAGCCTCGGCAACAGAGTGAGACTCCATCTCAATAAAATAAAATAAAATAAAAATAAATAAAAAAGGACTGAAACTAAGACCTTGTTAGACACAGTGGCTCATGCCTGTACTCTCAGCACTTTGGGAGGTGGAGGTGGGTGAATCACTTGAGCCCCAGAGTTTGAGACCAGCCTGGGCAACATAGGAAGACCCTGTCTCTACAAAAACAAACAAACAAACAAACAAACAAAAAAAACAGGGCATGGTGGCATGTGCCTGTGGTCCCAGCTACTTGGGAGGTTGATGTGGGCGGACTGCCTGAGCCCAGGAGGTTGAGGCAGCAGTGATCCACGTTCACACCACTGCACTCCAGCCTGGGCCACAGAACAAGATCGTGTCTGAAAGACAAACAAACAAACAAAAGCTAAGATTTTGAAACTCTTGATTGTGTGTGTGTGTTGTGTGTGTGTGTAAACCAACGGAAGCAGTAAACAGCTTTTGAGGTTTCAGAGAAAAGAACCCAAAAACTTCCTTAAGGAGATTTCATAGGAAAATGCTTTCTGACCTCACACTACAGATGCGTTCTACCCACCTTGGGCCTTGTTTCCCATCTCAGTAGACCACTATTCAGTCAGTTCCCTAAGTGGGAAACTCAAGCGTCATCTTAGCATTTTCTTTTCTTCCATCCTTCAAATCCTCTGCATCACCAGTTCATCCATTTATGCAGGAGGAGGACATTAGCAATTGTGACTCCTTCCTTCAGCTGCAGCTGTCTGTGTTTTCTCCTTCAGACCTTTATCTGAAGACTGCTCTGTCTTCACCGGCTCTGTTTCCTCCCCTTTCACACTCCCCCAACTCCCTCCAATCTGACTTCTGACCTGGTCACCATGGAAATAGCTCCTGCTAAGATCCCTAGTGACGTCCATGCCTCGAAACCAACCGACGTCCCTCATCCCTTCTCGCATCTCTCAACCACATCCAGCTCTTAGCCCCTTCTTTCTTCTGAAGGTGCACCCTTACTTCTTTTTTTATTATTTTTCTTGAGACAGGGTCTCACTCTGTCACCCAGACTGGAGTTCAGTGGTGCAATCTCAGCTCACTGCAAACTCTGCCTCCTGTGTTCAAGCAATTTTCATGCCTCAGCCTCCCAAAGAGCTGGAACTGCAAATATGCACCACCATGCCAGGCTAATTTTTTGTATTTTTGGTAGATACAGGATTTTGTCATGTTGGCCAGATGGTCTTGAACTCCTAGCCTCAGGTGATCCACCTGCCTCGGTCTCCCACAGTGCTGGGATTACAGGCGTGAGCCACCGTGCCCGGCCACTCCTTTGCTTCCTTACTTCTTGACTGAACTCTTCTGGTGTTTTGTTTTGTTTTGTTTTGTTTTTAATGTATAAAATGAGGCTGGGAACGGTGGCTCACACCTGTAATCCCAGCACCTCGGGAGGCAGAGGGAGGCGGATCACTGGAGGTCAGGAGTTAGAGACCAGTCTGGCTAACATGGGGAAACCCCATCTCTACTCAAAATACATAACTTAGCTAGGCATGGTGGTGCATGCCTGCAGTCCCAGCTACTCAAGAGGCGGAGGCAGAATAGCTTGAATCTGAGAGGTGGAAGTTGCAGTAAGCCAAGATAGTGCCAGTGGCACTCCAGCCTGGGTGACAGAGTGAGACTGTATCAAAAAATTAAAAAATAGAAAAAAAAAAGGCCAGGTGCGGTGGCTCAAGCCTGCAATCCCAGCACTTTGGGAGGCCGAGGCGGGTGGATCACAAGGTCGAGAGATCGAGACCAACCTGGTCAACATGGTGAAACCCCGTCTCTACTAAAAAAAAATACAAAAAATTAGCTGGGCATGGTGGCGTGTGCCTATAATCCCAGCTACTCAGGAGGCTGAGGCAGGAGAATTGCCTGAACCCAGGAGGTGGAGGTTGCGGTGAGCCGAGATCGCGCCATTGCACTCCAGCCTGGGTAACAAGAGCAAAACTCCATCTCAAAAAAAAAAAAAAAAAAAAGAAAAAAGAAAAAAAATAAATAAAAAATGTATAAAATGTAAGCCAGGCACAGTAACTCATGCCTATAATCCCAGAACTTTGGGAGGCTGAGTTGGGAGGAGCACTTAAAGCCAAGAGTTCAAAAAACCAGCCTGGGCAATATGGCAAGACCCTATCTCTACAAAAATTTAAAAAATTAGGTACTATGATGCACATCTGTGGTCTTGGTCCCAGCTACTTGGGAGACTGAGGTGGAACAATCACCTTAGCCCAGAAGGTGGAGGCTGCAGTGGGCTGTGATGGCAGCACTGCACTACAGACTGGGCAACAGAGTGAGACCCTGTATTAAAAAAAAAAATAATAATAATAATAAAGGCTGGCGCAGTGGCTAAGGCCTGTAATTCTAGCACTTTGGGAGGTTGAGGCAGGTGGATCACTTGACGTTAGGAGTTCAAGATGCCTGGCCAACGTGGTGAAACCTGGTCTCTACTAAAAATATAAAAATTAGCCAGGTATGGTGGTACGTGCCTGTAATCCCAGCTACTCAGGATGCTGAGGCAGGAGATTCACTTGAACCTGGGAGGTGGAGGTTGCAGTGAGCCAAGATCATGCAACTGCACTCTAGGATAGGAGACAAGAAAAACTCCGTCTCAAAAAAAAAAAAAAAAAAAAAAAAGAAAAAGAAAAGTATAAAATGTAGAGGCTATTGGTGTGAGCCACTTTAAGTGATCCGCCCACCTCAACCTCCCAAAATGCTAGGATTACAGGCATGAGCCACCCTGCTCGGCCCCCAGTGTGTATTTTTAATGGGCTGTTTTGGGTGATTTTCAAGTAAGCATATTTTAAAGCAGATTTTTTTTTCCTATGGTCATATGGGGAAAAATTAGTCTTGCTTTGTTGCCCAGGCTGGTCTCGAACTCCTGGTTTCAAGTGGTCCTCCAACCTCGGCCTCCCAAAGTGCTAGGGCTACTGGTGTGAGCTACTGCGCTCAGCCTTCTGGTTTCTTCTATATCTCAGGGGTCTCCTTCTGTGTTTCTTTTCAGGTCTATCCTCCAACCAGGCTAGCACATACTAGATTTCTTCACAACTTTGTCTCAATCTTCCTTATTTTCTCTTTCTAGCTCTTACTAGACCAGCAGTTCTCAAAGTGTGTGCCACAGATCCTTTTCGGGGGACTCATGAGGTCAATACTATTTTCACAGTACCAAATGTGACTTGCCTTTTTTGCTGTGGTGGCACATTGGGGCTGTGGACACTAAAGCAATGGGGTGGAACTGCTGGTGTCCAGTATGAATCAGGGCATGGGCACCAAACTGTATTATCACTGCATTCTCCCCACTCATGCACTTACAGGAAAAAAAGCCAGCTGTAAAAACAAATATTAATTGTATTAAACTTTGACTTGAGTATGTCTTTTTCCATATAGATATTAGTTATTCTAGCACCATTTATTGAAAAGACTATTGTGTTTCTCCATTGAG